AAGGCTGCAACTGGAAGTAGCAAACAAAACAAAGCATACTTTGAAACGTAGACTGCAAATGAGGGAAGCTGTGAATACTGCCAATTGTGCTTTATTTAATTTTTTATTTGCTATTTTGATTCTGTGCAATCACCGAGAAATTAAGAGAATCACTAGAGTGGACAGAGCCTAACCTAAAACACGCTTTCTTGCTAAACTGAAAGACGTATTATCATCATAAACTGTAAAATATATGACAAATAATTAGCTCAGAGAATCAATAGGGCTTTCTTCTGGGAGAATATGGTATTCTCCAAAAGCAAAGAGCTGTGTGAAATTATAGTGTGTTACCCAGTTTTTAGTGGAGAAACTGAGGAAGACTGTAGAAAGTCTTCTACAGAGAGGAAGATGATTTTGGAAGGCAAGGTTTATGAAGTAATTTGGTAATGTGATCCAATGACCAACTGGATTTTTAAATAGAAAAGGTTAAAACATTTTTAAGCAGATATACAAAGATGTGATACACAAACACATACATACTTGCACTAGTGTATACACTTCTGTGTTAGAATCATGAAATGATGGTACATTTTAATTTTTTTTAAACCAACCAATTTTCTCTCATCAGTTGGCCTACTTTAATTCCTTTTCCAAGGGGCTTCAAAAGCATCTCTGCTTCAGACTCAAGTGTTTTCAACCTAGTGCTGACTGGTTTCTCACATGCAAGTGAAGAATGTAATTACATGACTCTTGTGTTCTTGTTATAGCAATTGGTTCCCGTTTGTTCAAAAGCTCCATTCAAACCTCATCTTGTTTGGTTTTAACTACTTCTTATGGGCCACATTCAACAACTGAAGCTTTCACTTCTTGTGACAACTCCATTTACTTACATTACACTTAATGGAGTGCAAAGAAGTCGCTCCTGATTTCCAGCCATGTAGCTCAGGGCTTGTCTGCACAAGTAAGTTAGACCAATTTAGCTTAAACTTGTCTGTACATAAATGTGGAAAATCCCATGCAAAACAATTTATTCTAATGTAAGGTTGGCTTATGCTTTGTTGTTGGGTTTTTTGGTTGTTATTTATTTATGTTCGGTTTTGTTTATTTGTTTGTTCCCCCACCCCACCCCAAGGAATTGACTCAAGCTCAACTGATGTAAACCAGACTGAAATACATGTATCTATTTGGACTTCAGCATTGATTTAGCTTATTTGGTATAAAAAGCAGACCAGTGCTTTTTTGGTCTCTGATGAGAATTAGACGCTTGCCTTCCCACACTTGTCTGCTACTGACCTTCCTTGTTTCTCTATAAAAGAGGCAGCCAAACTGTAGTGCACATGCCACTCACAACTGTGTCCATGATATGTTCAATACTGAACTAAGCCACAGCTTTGGGGTCTCACTGCTCTTCTACAGGCAGCACAGTAACTGCCTCCTAGATACCGTAAAACACGTGCAAGCACAGTTAGGAACTACTGCAGCCACCACCTGCATTCAACAATAATGAATAGCTCTGTTGCCCCCAGGCAGACCTGCACTTCTGGTTCAGGATATGGGAAGACGACCAAGACATGGTGAAGTAGGAAGAACAGGATTAGGGAGATGGCACGCGTACATGGGAAGCCAAGGTTCTGCTTTGTCTTTGCAGGAAGTGAAGGTTCATGATTTAGGTGTGTGCAGGAGAAAGGATGTGGCTGAAGTCTGAAATTAGAGTAAACTTCTGTGGGTGCATGAAAGGATAGGGAAGGTTAAGTGTGAGCATTGGACTGAAATCCTAGTCTGGGAGATGGGAACATGCAGCAGAAAAGCTGGGAGAACAGCCACAGATTAAGCTGTTTTTGCACTGTTAGAGAAGCATGTGACCCCGGATGCCAGAAGTTACTGATGGTGATCATATACCCATTAACTAGGTTTGGAAACCTCTAGTCTGTGCTACCTCACCATCATTTTCTGCAAGTGTGTCCTTTTCGGGTTCTAGTATAAATTCTAATAAAGTAACAGTTTTATTGCATCTTTGTACCTACTCACCTACTATATATTTTCTACTCTTTGCCAAAAACATTTTATCTTACCTTTCCCTCTGCTTTTATATTTAGCATTCATCTATTATTTAAATTAATGCACTGACTGGCAGGCTTGTCTTAAGCAGCATATTTTGAATGTTTAAGGGTATTTCAGAATGGCTTGTAGAAAATGCTCTATAAAATTAAATTACTTAGTAGAACAATTTAAGAGTAATTTTATATTCTATACTCAAGGTTTAAAAACCAAAAGTCTTCTTTAAACATGAACTTTATTTGATTTTATGGCTTATTTCAGATTTGACTCACATATACACACACACATATATACATACAAACTCAAAATTTCAAAAGCATTCAGTACACAGGAAATTAACAGGGAATTTTAAAAATTGTTTAAATTTCACTCTGGAGTCTGGTCTGGAAAGGAAAACCTTCTAGAAGCTAAAAGAGACATTTGGAAGTTTATTTCATAATCTATCTTTAAAAGAAGCCATATTCCATGGCATCCATGTGTACATGCATAAACAGATTGTAATGTACCCTGTTTTATCATGTATATGATAGATCACGTACGTAAACTCAACAACACTGGGCCTACCCAGGTGTATATATCTATATTAATGAGATATTTTAAAAAATAAAATTTCAGTGTTCATTATATACCTATATGAATATATATATAGTTTATATAAATATACAATATATTCATGTATGTGTAATACATTTACATAATATTATGTATGTCTGAAATCTATCAATATATGTAGAAAACCTACTCCAACTATCCAAGTTAATACTATAAAACAGTGGAAAGAAGTTGAATTGGTAGTCGAAACACTATTGTTACATGTATTCAAATGTTCACAGAATCTGGAACTTATTTAACAGGTTAAATTAATTTCTGTGGTCAAAACTAATCAAATTTGCAACATAATTAAGGCATGAAAATAATGGAAAACCTTTCAAAAACAAAGCAAAGAAAAAAATCTTCCCCCTGTTGCATGTCAGTGGCAGAACTTCACTGACAATACTGCATTGATCGGTGCATACCAATTTCACAAACTTGTAGTACAAATTTTTTTATGACAGTGGCAACAACACTGGGTCTACAAAAGGGGATGGCTAACAATGAGGCATTTCAAAGACAAAAATCTCAGTCTTGAATTCAGTCCTGATCTTCAAACTGTACAGATCCTGAATATCAGCTTCAACAAAGGAGGGTTATACTTGGCCTTCTGCCACCCTCCTTTGTAGCCATAGTATCTTAGTGTGCCTGAAGCAGAAACAGGAAGGAAACTTGATTAAATTATACTCCCGCTCTGCCAGTCTGCTGGACAGCTCTGTGCATACCTATCATCTGATTATAAGGTAGCTCCATCCTTGGGGTTGCCACCATGAACCTAAAAGTGAGCACACATACACAGGGACTCTTAAGCTGGATGCTAAATAAATGTAATAGAAAAGTCTGTCAGATAATCCAATAAAAGCCTACATAAAACCATCATTAATATTGTTTTCACCTTCCTGTCACAAGACATGCTTACCTCACTTTAGCAGCTGTGCTTACATCTGTATCATTTTTTGAAGTCACTGAAATGTGTGTCACTGCCTGTATTCAATGATAAATATGGTCCTCAGTCAATATTCATTCTAACCAGAGCTTTCCTCCTTTAAGACAGACAATAAACTGCTTTTGTAACCCTGTTTTTGCAGGATCATCATTACCCTTTTGTATCATGCTGCTTTGAGTATAAGCTATCTAGATTTTGAAGAAATGCATTCTAAAGCAATTCTGATTATATAGAAATTATTCTTCCCAATTGTAGGCACCTTTCTTCCATCCTCCCACATAAATCTCAAAAATAAGTACAGTTCACACAGCAGATGCAGAATGAGGACTTTTAGAAATAGACCATGTACTGTCATTTTTAAACATAGCTGAGACTCTGGATTAGTAATATGGGCTGTTTCCAGTTCTGCCTAGGGCTTCTTATATGATCCTGGGTATGTGATTATTTTTTCTGTCAATTACTCATGTACCGAAAGGTCACAAGTCAACTTTTTGTTCAATGAGTGTTGTAAGGATTGAACAACATATGTGAAGCATTCAAATACCACATTAAGGGCTACTTAAACATGCAAGAAGGCAAGGAAACAAGTTATGAAGCTGGAAGCTGCGTTGGCCAGAATACATTGCAGAACAACCCTCACAGTAAGAGGATGTCTCAGGTCCTGAGCAGAAATTCAAGTGAGAGGAATTATTACCTTCACAACAAGGAGATAACCATCTCCTAGACTAATCAAGCCGTTTATACCAACCCAAACAGTGTTCCTGCCCTTTGTACAGTCACTCCACAAAAGCTTTAAAAGTTCCACCGGCTATTTCCACTGAGCATCTAAATCAATAACCTCTCTAAGCAAACGAACAGAAGTAGAAGACAGACACGAGATTACTCTCCTCTATAATATTTCGTAGGGAATTTTTTTTTTTTTTTTTTAATCCCACCTAGCTAAATCTGTACAGCAGGGACCTCACGCACTCCAGAAAACAAGGCAGCAAATACGGCCACGTTCCTGTATCCCGAGGCGACTTTCACTTTCCGGATCGCTGCAGTGCCAGAGTTGGTGGGCCAGCTGCGGAGACGGCACCAGCCGCGGCACCGCGGGGATGGCGGGTGTGTGTGCCGAGCCCTCAGGCCGCGGACCCTCAGGCCCCGGCCACCGCCCCGCCCACCCACCCTCCATCCACCTACCCACCCATCGATCCACCCACCCACCCACCCACCCATCGACACCAGGCGGCAGGGGAAAGGGCAGCCCACGGCCGGGCCCCCCCCGCTCCCCTCCCAGCGGCGGCGCGGAGGCCCCTGACACTGGCCGTGCCCGCGGCTGCGGGGCGCCCCGGCGGCGGCGGCGGCCCGTCCTCCCGCTCGCGGGCAGGCCGCGGCTGCCGGGGATGGGACATCCCCGCCCGCCCCTCGCAGCCCGGACACCTACCCACACCATCCCAGAGCCCGACGGCAGGGGAGTGGCGAGGGAGCTGCCCGTCCTCTCCCTCCGCAGCTCCGCACCCGAGCCCGCTCCGGCCCCTGAAATGGCTGAACAAAGGGACCCTCGCTCCGCCGCCACCGCCCCTCCGATTGGCCGGGGGACGGCCGGGGGGCGGGGCTCGCCGCGCGGAGGAGGGCAGTGGCGCCACTGGCCGGTCACCCTGGCAACGGCGGCCCCGTCTGCGGCCCCGAGCCGCGGGTGTGATGGAGGCGGCAGCGAAATGGCCGCCCGGCCCCACCCAGCCCCTCAGCCCCGGCCCCCGCCCTCGGCCTGGCCCGGGATGGCAGGCGGAGGGACGCCTTTCCCTCCCGGCTCCCTGGTCTCGCGCGGATCGGAGCACGCACCCGGGGTTCGTGCCCAGGCGCTGCCTCTCGCAGTGATTCCCCGGTGGCCAGCGGGGACATTTACCCTCCTCAGATGCACCCTTTCTCCCCGACCCGCCGCCAGCTGCCTCAGAGAGACACAAGTGCGAAGTTGCCACTCGTTCCTCCGGCAGCACCCGACTCCCCCAGAAGGATCTCTCTCCCCTCCCCAGCAGTACTGCTCCTCACAGCACAAACGGGCTCCTCACAGGTCCCCTTTCCTCTGGGACCCACCAGGCTCCGCAGTTCGGGCTCCTATCCCCACAACCCTCAACACACCCTGCGCCAGCAGCAGCAGAGAGCTGCAGTGGCCCCACAGGAGGTGGCTGGCACATCGAAAATTATAAAAATGAAAAATGGGGCTAAGGGCTGGCCAGCAAAGGTACAGCACCCTGGATTTCATATTGAGTAGGCAATGCAAGCACATAGCCAGGGTCTTCCTGGACTTCTGGGAGTGAATGGGTTGAGAGCAGCCCCATGGAGAAGGACTTGGGGACACTAGTGAGTGAAAAATTTGCCGTGAGCTGACAATGTGCACTTGAATCCCAGAAAGTCAACTGTATCCTGGGCTGCATCAAAAGAAACGTGGCCAGCAGGTCAAGGAAGGTGATTCTCCCCCTCTGCTCTATTCATGAGATCCCACTGCATGCAGCTCTGGAGTTCTCAGCACAGGAAATTCATGAATCTGCTTGAGCAGGTCCAGAATGATCAGAGGGATGGAACACCACTCCTATGGAGAGAGGTCGAAAGAGTTGGGGTTGTTCAGCCTGGAGAAGAGAATGCTCCAGGGAGACATTTCAATACTTAAAGTGGCTTATAAGAAAGATGGAGATAGACTTTTTTCCAGTGCTGGTAGTTACAGAACAAGGGGCAATGGTTTTAAACTGAAAGAAGGTAGGTTTAGATTGTATGTAAGGAAGAAATCTTTTACAGTTAGTGTGGAACAGGTACTTCAGGGAAGTTGTGGATGCCCCATCAGTACAAGTGTTTAAGGTCAGGGTGGACAGAGCTCTGAGCAACCAGATCTAGTGGAAGATACCCCTTGCCACAGCAGCAGGGGGTAGACTAGTTGATCTTTGACGATTCCTTCCAACTGAAAATATCCTGCGGTTCTATGATTCTATGTCTTCTGTGGCCAACTGTCCTGGCTATGGGTACACCAAGTCACAGTGGCAATCTCTACTTGCGCTGCAATCCTATCTCCTTGATGCAACCACTAGGCACTTTTTTACTAAACAATGAAAGAGAAACATCTTCACCCAATTTCTAAAGCTTACAGAGCATTTAGAAGAGCACAGTCTTGAGACAAACTCAGAGTTGGTAGCTTTGCTTATGGTCCCCTTGTGCGTCTCCTGCTCCTGGGGACACATGATCTTCTCTCTTTCCTCATCCAGACTCACTTCCTCTCTGTCTGCCTCTTAAGTATGCACATACCCCTCCCAGCCCCACGCATACTACCATCATTTCACAACAAACAAAATTCCTTTATATTATCTTCCATAAAGAGAACTGCTTTCCCAGGCACTTGTCGAAGTCAGCACCATAATGTTGCTGTGTTACGTCAGCTCTAGCATCGTGCCAGGCTACTTCCACTTTTTAAAAACATTTGTGTTTTAAAACGCTTATGCCAATTTGATGATTTTCATGGGACGTGTCTGGTGGTCTTGCACTAACACTTCAGTACTATGTCTAGATCTCCTTGTGCTGAAAGATCTACATGTGCACATTCAAAAGACTGCTACCCCTTATAAAAATCCCTACTAACACAGTCCAATTAAATACCTGTTATTTTTCTCAAGGTTTATTTTACTGCATAATCTTCAGAGCAGATTGCATTGTAGTTATAGACTGTATTTAGTTACACTACACTGATTTATAGCTTTATACCTGAAAGAATCCCTGTATATCCATAATCGCACAATAAAACCCAACCTCTCAGCTGACTTGAAAGTATGTACATGGAGCTATGTCTTCCAGTTCAGCCTTCCTGAGTTCAAAGACATAAGTCCTATATCTTACCTCTGGCTTTGGGGATCTACATGCCACAGCTACAGCAGGCAGAATGCCATAGTGCTTGAGTGCAAATGTGCTAGTTGCAGTTGTTGTGGCCAGGAAAAAGGATATAAGAGCTAAGTTATTGAGTCCTATGTTTAAAACATGAAACTTGACAAATCAGAGTAAAAACTGCTGGTAGAAATTGTTAAAATTGTTCAATGATACTTTATTATGTGGAAAGCAGAACAAATATTTAAATCAAAAAGAGGTTAAGCAGTACAGCCATAAAAATGCATTTACAATATATTTGCACAGTATAAACTGTGTGCTTTATATGGTGATACGTGGCAAACATTTACAAGGTGTACATTTATGTAAGCACAATGGGCCCATTTAACTTTTTTCACTTTTTACATTTAATGCACAAACCCCAATATATAAGATCTGAATAGACACTGCAAATACAGCAGCTACTTTGAATGCGGGGAACGATATCTTTCACGCTTCTGTAGTTCATTCACAAAAGATACCTATCTGAATTTCCTACAGCATCAGTTGAATGCTGGCCTGCTTTCTTCCTGACACAATGCCATTGAATTCTAATGTCTGCCTGGATGCCCAGTCCTCTGCACTTCTTTTCCTCACAGTTTTCATCTGTTGGTCAGCTGCAGTCAAATCTGACTGACAGGTGGAAGCCTCCAAAAGATAATGAAGTTCAAATCCCGTTACAAACAGCAGGGAGCCAGGTAGAGGAGAGGGACTGTACTAACAAGGAGATGTTGGAAAGAGCAGAAGGAAGGGATAGTGTCTGCCTGTTTGATATCCTGCCAGTTTATCAGTACCAACATACTGCCTAGTCCATCCCACACACATAATTTAAAACAAGACTCGTAATACTGTTTCTGGCCCTGCTGTTAGTCCAAAGATGTGGGAAGGAACTTGTGGTAACACAGAGGGTTTAGTGGATGAGGAGGGCAACTAGAATACTTATGTTATGGTGCATGTCCTGGTTCCTACGATAGGTATTTTAAACCAGTACATAGTACAGGAAAGCTACAAAAGTAGCATAATCAACTACTCACCAGTTCCTGCTAAAAGTTACAGGGAACCTAATGTGGCCACATTGCTCTTCTACTTCCCAGTCTCCAATTGCAGAACAGCATTTTTGGTGGCTGTCACAATTAAAACAATCCAGGCTCAGTGTGTCCTTTTACAGGCTAGAAGCCAAGGGATGGAAGAATGAAAGATGAGTTACCTTTGCCTGACTTTAACCAGATTTAAGGTAAATACAGAGTACTAACTTCCTGACAACTTTCTTAAGATTTCTCTGTTTTAATAAAATGTAATACTGTAAACAAGCAATGCATTTTCAGTTAACTAGGCTCCATTAAAATACAACTTCAGGCTTGATGCATCAGGCTGCTGTACCTAAACTAGGCCAATAAAACTATGTTATATTTCCTTTTTGCTCTAATGATAGACATCAGCACAATATGTTGAAATAATTTCTGATTTCCACACACGTTCAACATCAACAGAAATGGTCCATCAAAGACATCTTCCATACAAAGGAAAGTCCTCTGGTGGTCCATTTCAGGTGGTGCTGATGTTCTTTCAAGAACGCATGAAGGAAATGAGTTATAGAAAAATGAACTTTGTCTCCATGTTCATACACAGGCACTTCAGTCTGTTGTGATGCTGAGTTACCTGGGTACTAAACATAGCCTAGCAATGACAGCACATAGCAAACAATGAGCTAATTTACCTGTTTCCTCATTAGGATAAATTTGCCTGAGGAAGCTGAAGTTCTGTGCTAGACAATTCCTAAGCTTTTTTTTTGAACCAGCTTAATCATCTCTACATTGTACTAGATGATCCATTATAGAGATATACATTTTTCTTTTGACTGGAGGCTGCGATTCTGTCTTTGTGACTGCAGAACTTTGGGGTTTTTTTAGGAGCAGATTTAGTTATTTTCACTATCATTTGTTATCCTAATCAATTGCCTTTTAAGCATCTGATTTTCCTTGGCAGGATCAAGCAGTGGAGATAAGTCATCTGGATGCAAGAATGGTTTTCTTAGTCATAAGGGAAGCTGTGTAGTTCCCATGCAAATTTGTTCTGTAGCTTACAAAGAATCACTTAAATGAATTTTTGGTTTGTTGAACAGAGAAATAGGAAACAGCCTGAGGTGTTCCCTGGATGGTGGTAATGTGTCCTGTGATTGTTCCCATTTTTTGTCTTCTGTTTGTAAGTAAGTGCAAAGTTACAGTTGAATAAAACCTTGAAATTAATGTAAAGATGTTGTGATACTTGCCTGAGATTGAAATTTCAAAACAATGAGTGGGAAGGGTATTACTCTGCAATTTATATCAGTGAGATGTCAACTTAGATGATCATGGACCATATTTATTTAAATGTTAGTATCACTGTTTTATTGACCATTGAAGTCAGGTGAAAACCAAAATTGGGATTCTCCATCATCTAGTGGCTGAGATGTTTATTATTGCTTAATGTTGTTGAATTTGTCAGCATATTAGCTGTTATTGTGGTCCCTAGACAAGAAATGACTGAGATGAAGAAACCTAGCAAAAAATGAACCGTGTGACAGAAAGCTGCTGTTCTAGAAGGGGAGAACAAGGTGCAAACATGAATATTTGTATTAATATACTGTTTTGAAGGCAATAAGAAGAGAGGAAGGAAAGGAAGGAAAGGAAG